GGTCCAGGTGTAGATTCTATGGTACATGTAGTCCAGGTGTAGATTCATTGGTCCAGGTGTAGTTGCTATGGTCCAGGTGTACATTCTATGGTCCAGGTGTAGATTCAATGGTCCAGGTGTAGTTTCTATGGTCCAGGTGTAGTTTCTATGGTCCAGCAGTAGGTTCTATGGTCCAGCAGTAGGTTCTATGGTCCAGGTGTAGTTTCTATGGTCTGGTTGGATTTTCTATGGTCCAGGTGAATTGTTAATGATAGAAAAAAATAGAAATACAAACATTAAGACAGCTGTCAGTTTGGCCTCCAGCAGTCTAAGTATGTAGCATCAGATCTAAGGGAGAGTTCAGGAAACACACAATCTTGTTCCACCTCATGTACCACATGTGATGTGAATGACAATAAAGATACTTGAACCCTAAGCCAAACCTAACTATAGGATTTATCAGAAAGGAAAGTGTTCAGTCTGGTCTTGGTGTCGGCCTCACAGGCACAAACTGTAAGTTGGTTCAACAAGAGAGGAGCCTGAGAACTTTAAGCTCTGCCTCGCGTTCTGCTTTTAGAAACTAGGAACCACAAGTAAACCTGCATCCTGAGAGCGAAGTGCTCTGTTAGGAACATATGGAACAATAAGACATTCAATAAAAGATGCTTTGGTTGTTGAGAGCTTTGTATGTGCTTTAAATAAAGTAACTCATGTTTCCACTGATAAAGTTAAAGACCTTTGGAGTAGCTCATCATTACCGTACACCAGTGATGTATTGATACGGACCAATTCTTCAATTTTAACTTCTGTTCATCACAACAAGGTGTTTTCTAGTTTATGGTCTATTAATTTCAACCAGTGCAGCAGTCTACATATTATTGTTTTCACGCCCTGGGGTCTGAATTGGGCAGGTTTTTACTAATTTAATAGAAATAGTTCTAGTTAGGATTCGTCATATCTATTGTAATGGCTTAGAATAACTCAAAATATTTATAAAGTGGAGTTAGTTTTCGAGCTGAAATGAGCGTTAAATCAGATTCCTTGTCCTTCACGAGGCGTTTAAAACTCCCCGGTGTTTCTGCGTCTTCGCTGCACTCGTGAGAGCCAAGAGATGTGGTTCTGGATGTGAGTCGGTAGCAGCTGTAGAGGGCTTCCTCCGAGTCGCTCTGCATCAAGTTACGTAACAGGAGCAACAGCAGCGGAGCCGCTTGAACACACACACACACACACACACACACACACACACACACACACACACACACACACACACACGGTCCTTGAATCCACGTCTTCAGAGGACATTGTGTTCACTTGCACCACAAACCGACTCAAGGCAACGCTGACCTGAGATAAACCCGGTCTGGTCCAGGAAGACGACCTTCCTTCACTTCAACATGTAATGATTTAGATTCTGAGCTCGGAGCCTCGGCAGGAAGGGAAAGTCCTGGTAATGTGAGAAAACAGACATCAATAAAAGCTGCCCACCTAAACAAAAACAGCTGCAGGAGGAAACAGGAAGTCACACTTTCCTCGGCTCTGTTACAAAACATTCTGCTCAGTTTCCAGCTCACCGCGTCTCTAATGAGCCACTCTTAATTGACAGCTTTCAGGATTAATAGGCGCGCATCCTCTTTTTTTTTAATTTTTTTTATTGCTGCCTTTTCAGCCCTTTAGCTCAGAATGACTCGAATCAAAACACAGCTGCAGGAAAAGCTTCAGCTGGTGAAGCTGCTTCGGCTGCTGGCACCCGCAGCAGCTGGAGGTCAAAGCTGTCGTGGGTTTTAACGGCTTGAAAAAGAAACGGCGGGTGACTCGTTTGAATCGCAGGTGAGATTTGAAGCGGTGGCTCTTTGTTTTCCGACCTGCAGTTTGTTTAAAGGAGCAACACGGCTGAGTCTCCAGCAAGTTGATCCGGTCATTAAACTGAGGTCATCACCATTTATGTACAAAGTATGTAACGTAACTACTGATCCGCTCAAGATAATTTACTGAAACTTCACACGCTTGTGCATCATCACTAGACTGAGTGTCACATGCACTTTCCATCACCCCAGCTCTAAGGTCAAGGTCACAAATCAAGGTCAAAGTTAAAACAAAGTATTTGCTTGTTGACGGGTGTATAACGTGCTACTCTTAATACATTTTATCATATTATTTAAAAACAACTTGCTCATTATTTGGGTATTTAAAGTCGGAGTGTATGTAAACATCTGGTCTCAGCTGTATTCTAAACGTGACGCCTCATCAGATCGTTTTCTAAATTATTTTAAAAACGGATGAAACTCCGTCGTCATTCCACGTTGAATGATTTCAGCCTAAAACTCTGGACATTGTGAACATTTCGTCACATTTTGACTTGTGAAACTAAATTTAATAACATGATTGGTGTTTTAGTTTATTAATTTAACCATAAAAGCCTTAAACTGGGAGAAGGCTTAAATGCATCTCCATAATTTGTGAATAGTATCCAGAGTAAACGCGCTTGTGTTGAACGTAATTGTTGATTTTTTTTTAAAGCATCAAGTGCTTTGCTGTGTTTCAGAGCCCTTCATGAGGAATGGCCGGCCCCCCACCTCCCACAGCATGCACTCCTTCCTGCACCAGTACACCGGCTCCTTCAAGAAGCCGCCCCTGCGCCGGCCACACAGCGTCATCGGCGGATCACTTGGGTCCTTCATGGCCATGCCGCGCAACGGCAGCCGGCTGGGTGAGGCTCGCACACGTTCACTAACACAAACAGCAGGAAGCGAGTGGTCGGGGGGGGCAGATGGCGTCCGGCGCTCAGCAGGAAACGTGTCACCATCCGGAGATTTCCCCTGGTCGTTCTTCGTGTTTGAGAGAATGACTCGCCGTGAATCCCATGAGCCAGCTCGTCCCTCCGCCCGCGCCGGTTTTCACCCGTGTGACGGCTGGACGTGGGACTCGGTCAAACACGACGCCACTTCCTGCGTGAGTTGATTCATCGCAGCTCAGCCGTGCCGAAGGTTGGAAGAAAGACGACGAGATGATTCAGACCAGCAGATTGTGGGATCAGGAGAGCCCAGAGGTGGCACAACGATTCACAGAGGAACATTTACCAGTTTATATGGTGCTAAATCTTCAACGATCCAACGTTTCTGTAAGAATGAGGTCATAGCAGCTGAGACTGAGCCCTAACAATTGTTTTTAAAATATTTTCACCACGACATACTGACAGAACGTGATGACATATTTTGCTACATGTCAGGAATTGGGTATGGTTGCCATGGACTTCAAAAATATGGAAAAATATCCACCCTCTTTGATTTATTTTTATTTTTATTTTGTTTTCTTACAGTCTGGAATGATATGATTTCAATTTTTATAAGTAGTGGTGCTACTCAAGGTATTACAGATTGACAAAGTTAAACGGAGAGAAAATAGTTCAATCAATCCACCTGTAGGCAAAGTTTCAGAGGATCTCAATATCTCCAGCTGTTTTCACAGCCACCCCCTCGGACTACCACCGAACAAGGGACATCATGAAGACCAAGGAACTGTCCACACAGGTTAGAGACAAAGCTGGGGAGAAGAACAGATCAGGGTTGAAGCATTAAAAAAATCCTAAACCCTGAACATCTGACGGGGCTCCATTAAGTTGAACGTTAGGAAACAAAAAAATTAAGCCAAGAGACGGTTATTAACGAAAACTCACGGACTGATCAAGGAGGACGTTAGTCAGAGAAATATCTCCGAACACGAGGAAGGGTTTAGATTTATTTGTCATATGCAGGTCAACACAAGGTCAAATCTGTGCTGCCATACTGCGGCGCACGTGACGCCACACACTAGGAGAAGGTGCTTTGGTCAGGTGAGGCTAAAATCAACCTTTCAGGCCGTCTGTAACTGTCTGGTTCAGGTCCAACAGTCCACATGTAAAGAAAACCATCTCCACTGTAAAGCATGGAGGTGGCAGCATCATGCTTTGAGAACTTTTTATTTTTTTGTGCTGGGACTAGAGAGTTGATCCAAGTTAACGGAAAGATGGTTGGAGCAAAATACAGATATTATTGTAGGAAACCAAAGAGATTTGAGACTGTGGCAGAGGTCCAGCTTCCAGAAGGTCAATGAGCCGAACCACACATCTGAAGGAGAACCAGGTCCTGGTTTTGGACTGGTCCGGTCAAAGCCCAGACCTCGGTCCAACTGATAACTTCTGGTTTAAAGACTGTTGGACATGAGCAGCTCCGACCTAACAATCTGTTCCACGCCTTAGATCTGTCGCCGCTTTCTAAAAGTTTTTTATAAGCAGGGGAACACCAGAGGACCAGCACTGGACCCTGTCCCAGATAGGAGGACTTGGATCTAAAAACAGGACAGTTAAGTAGGACATTGATGATACGCCGCCACAGACTGTGTGCTTATTATCAAAGATGCTAATTACTGGGGAAAGAAGGACGAGATGTACAAGGGATGGAGGGCGACGCTGGAGAAGAAAAAAGAGAAGGACGTGTACAGCTTGAAAAAAGAATCAATTCAGCTCTGAATAAAGAAAAGACGAGGCACAACGACACAAACGAGGCTCTAAAGCAAAATATGAACATGAGGGAGGAGCACAAGTCAGATTTCGAAGAGGATCGACTGCTCAGAGGGAAAGGAACGACGATGGGAATCAGAAATGTTACTCGGAGAGGAAGAATTTGAAGGATGCTGAGATAACAGAGAGGTATGTGAAAGTTGGAGGACCAAAAAGTAGGACATTTGAAGGATTCTGAGGAGACGCACACAAATAGTCTGCTGCCTAAAAAAAAAGTCCACAAAAAAGAGAAGATCAAACTGAAAGATCTGGGAAGAGAAAGGACTGTGAGTTTTTAAATACCAGAAAGGTAAACATGACACAGAAAGACGAGTTTATCTGATCCAGAGCCGTCAGTCTTCTTGTTTTATGGGAGACGTGGTTAAATTTAATTGCAAGCTCAGAATAGATGAAAGTGGATTTTTTTTAGCTGTGATGTGAAGCGGTGACGGCAGGACGAGGTCGCTACAACACCCAGAGCGTTTGGCACATTTACGGCGCTGCTGCTTTGTTTTCTTTGTACAGCAGAAATTATTCGAAACAACGAAAGAAACGGCTTTTTCTGTGAACGCTGAGAGCTGAAGGGCTTTGCTGAAGTAGCTGAAACTGGGTTGTTAAAGCTAAAAGAAACAGAAACATCAGCTAAAAGTCGAATACGGGCAAATACATGTTGGTGGAAAATGAAAAAAAGCAAACGGAACACAAGAAGAGAATTCTCGGAGTGTTTCGGAAATTAACGCAGCTCCTTTTCTAGAAGCTTGTTTCAAGACGGAGCTCCCGTGAGACGCTGAAGGCCGAACATCGAACCCTCACCCAGGCAGTAACGGCACCACGGCTGCCGCGGCACAGCTGGAGCAGAACGTGGCCGTGCACAAAGCACATGCACCCCCCGTCCTCCTCCAACACACTCGGTAATGAGTAGCCACGGTGGAGGAGCTCTGTCATCAGTCAACGCCTTCAACCATAAAGTCTGTGATCAAACGTGACGACACTCAGAGGAGAGACGGGGGATTTAAAAACACTCGTTGTTCTTCTAGACCCAAACGTTCTGGTGCTGTTTCACTCTTTTCCTGCAATAATTAAAAATAATGGATGTAAATTATATGTAGTGGTCCAGTTAAGGTAGTGCTGATCTAAAATGACACACAAGGAAGATCTTCAAACACTTTTACGTCCTGATAACAGAGTATTTTATTCTCTCGTGACTGTAGAGGCCTTCAGAGGTGAAGAACCTTCTAACTGTAGTGGTGAACTCAAAAGTTCCCTTCAGATCTGACTGCGTATTTTTTCCTCCACGCAGACATTGTTCACGAGAACCTGAAGATGGGCTCCGACGGGGAGAGCGACCAGGCGTCGGGCACGTCGTCGGACGAGGTTCAGTCCCCGACCGGGGTGTGTCTGAGGAACAGAGTTCACCGGAGGATCTCCATGGAGGTGAGACCCCAGAGATGCAGGAAGCGGCTGCAGCCAACGCCTCACTGAGCTGTGACCGTCGGAGACACGTAGCGGTTCAAACTTAGGAGGAACATTTTCAGTTGCAGTCGCAGATTAACCAGCGAGCCACGTGGCCCCATTATGAGCAGCCATTTTGTATTTGTTCATCACGGCTTATTTTTGTGTTTGCGCCGCTGTAGTCTTGGCTGCGCACATTACTTCATTCCCCACCTCGGCTCGCTTTGTGCCCATGGTAGCAGCCGCCTTGATGCTTGAGGTTGAATCTACTTGAGCACATTCCACACATTAAAACCGTCAGATTGGACCAGTTGTTAATAAACAGTTCATTATCATCCAAGTAGTTTTTAGACCCGGATGTTTGGGATTATAGTTTCGCATAATTTCTGAATAGCTCTGAATCTCAAAACAGAAGAAACCCATGTCTTTTCTAATCAGGCGTTCAGCTCCTAATTAGCTCTAATCAGCTGCATTTCGCCGGGGCGTTGCAGCGAAATGAAGCTGATTGGACGGTTGCTCCAGGCGAGCTGGACGAAGGTGGCAGACTGTGGCAAGCTGATTGTGTCATTAATAGCCACTTTTACCTATTATATGAAACAACGGCATGCTATACAACTCGAGTGCCATCTAGCAGCTGAAAATGATAGCGTTCAATATTTTCGATGTCGGAATGAATGAAGACATATCTCAGCCAAAAATTGATTTATAAATATCAGAAAAAAAACCCATAAATAAGTCGCAGGGCATGTAAATTATGCAAAAAAACTGCGACTTATGGGCTGAAAAAAGCTGTAATTTGTTCACCTAAAAACACACACAGGGTACGTGTTGCTTTCTCTCCAAGCAGCGACTGCTTCAATACACCTGCACTGAGAATGTGCAGCTCGTGAGAGTTTACAGACTGCCTCAGTTTGAGAAATAAACCAAATGTCGGCTATTGGTTAGCGTGGTACAGGTGCACAAACCGCATGCTCAGCATTTTTCCCTCTCGTGCAGCGAGACGAGCAAGTGGTGTCAAGGACTCGGCACGTGCTGAAGTGACGCGCTCTGGGGACATTTTATTTTATTTTTAATTGGAATTTTTGTCTTATTTTAGAACATGAAAAAAACACAACAAAATCCCCTCCCACACCGGATCAGCCGCACAGACATGAACACACTAGACGTATTTTCAACATAAGACTCAAACGGCTGCCAAGAGAGCCAAAAGCAATCGTGTTCCTCTCATACTTGCTGAAGGATGGGGCCGCTCTGGGGCCAGTTTGACCAGTCGAATGGTAACACAGGTGTTGTAAAGGAGGTACCTCACTGGGCTGCTGCGAGCTGGCAAACACCCAAGGTCTAAAAACTACTAATAATAGATCATTATTAAAAGAACTGGTCCAAATGTGCCCTCGAGTGGACTGAGTCATAAACTTTGGGTTGGCTGCCAAGGTTGGCACAAAGCGAGCTTATATAACAGAGGTGGGCAACAAAATAACGTGCACGGTCTAAAATACAGTTCTGCAAGCCGTGCACACGAAGAAGAAAAAACCCACGACCACACAATCTAATGGTCCTTTGGTTGCAGAAACTCAAAGTTCAGTGAGGCCGCCATGAAAGATTCACGTGTTCTCACGACATTGAGTCTCGGAGAGTCGTCGCTCGTTGAATCGCGGGTTGTACATTCATCTCATCGTCATCATCTTCATCGCCATAAGAGCGTATGAAGTGTTTGCATGTCATGACTCCTGCCCGTCTGTTCCCCACGCCCACCTGCTCCGCTGTCATCAGCATCTTTCTTCTCACCTGGTGGTGGTAGAGTTTCAACACGCCTCTGTTCTCCGGCTCCACATCACTGAAACAGAAACTTGTGCACGTAAACGTCCAGCGGTTATCTCCTGCTCCTCACTGATCCACATCCTGACCAACTTCCTGTGCCCTGGATCTTCCTGTTTCACCTGGCCAGGTGTCCGACAGGGGCCAGACTTCCACCTGTCTTTTCAAAATAAAGCGTATTTAACGCGCTCTGCGTGTTGTTGAATTTTCAGGTCCTCTGTTAAATTCATTACAGGGACAGGTTTGTAAGAGTGTGGGAAGAGTTTATAGAGCCTTGAATAAATCTAAATAATAAAACTAATATATAAATAATAAAATGAATAAATCTCAATACTAAAACTAATATATCTAAATAACAAAATAAATATATCTAAATAACAAAATAAATATATTTCAGCTACTTCACGGACACACAGCTGCACAATTACAGGAAGTTTATTTACAAACACTTTGATGCTGATTTTATTTTGAAAGTGTAAACATACAGGGTCAAGTCACAAACAGAAGTCTCCATACAGTGCCACATAACACCCCCCCTCCCCCCGTTCTAACAGAGACTAAATTAAGATGAGTTGGAGACTCTTATGATAATTTTATTTGTTTTGCTCATTTTGGAACTTTCTCAAAATTCAAGCAGCAACACGAGTCTCTGACCGCCGGGACTTTAGAACCCACGAGAGCATTTTGACACTTTGAAGCCCCGCCCCCCTGACTGTCCTTTGATGTTTGTCACAGCCAAGTGAGAGATTACCCTGCCTCCTCTCCCTCTGCTCTTCACCTCCTCTCCCTCTGCTCTTCACCTCCTCTCATCTGCTCTTCACCTCCTCTCCCTCTGCTCTTCACCTCCTCTCATCTGCTCTTCACCTTCTCTCCATCTGCTCTTTTCACCTTCTCTCCATCTGCTCTT